TGTGAGTGAGTGAGTGAGTGAGCGTGTGTGTGTGTGTGTGTGTGTGAGTGAGTGAGTGAGTGTGTGTGTGTGTGTGTGTGTGTGTGTGTGTGTGCAGTGATTTTATTTGCCAGCTCTTGTATGCAGCAGTGTGTCTCTTGTATGAAGTCTGTTCCTGTATGATTATCGTATTATGCATCTGTTTGTTAAGGAGAGCGGTCTGATGCGCCATCTGTTTGCAATAAAAACAGCATTATTCCCTTCATAATCACAGGGTTTGTCACAGACCAATGTTTCTGAGAGACAAAAATAAGTAGCTGAGAAAGTCTGACATGCTTCGGCGGCGCAGCAGAGCTCGTCTTCCTCTCAGCTGATGATCTGATGATCTCCAGTTGTTAACCTGCCTATAGCTGGTGTTAAATCTCGTTAGGGTTTGGTCGATGACACTAACAAACTCCATGTCTTTATGCCTCAGAAGTCTGTTTCAACATGCTAGTTTTTGAAGCAGCATTACAGATATAACCCATCGACGTCCTGTTATTAAAATATTCTGAACTAGATGTGAAGTGTATGTGTAAACTGTGTTGTAAATACTTCTCTAATGATCATGCTAGCTGGTTGTACGGTTTAGCGGGCGACGGGCAGCTCCAAAGCCATTTCTGCACTTTTCCCTAAACAACATGAGAAGAACAGAGTCATTTTATTGACCTACAGAATGTTTGATTAATGAGAATAAAACAAGTCGTTACATTTAGTTTGAAGGGTTATTTTTTTGCACATTATTGCCACTTCCAGAGACACCAGTGTGTATTTTTTTTACAAGCTATGAAAGCAGTCTATGGATTTGAGTGTCTGAAACCTGAAATAAGCGTTATGCAGTGAAACACTGAAAACAGCCGTGGGCCTTGAGTTCTTCCCCAGAATCTGTCCTGAAAGATCCAGACGGGTTTTATTTGCTGTTGTGTTTGTTCAGGAGCATGGCATTCGTCCTGTGAGGAAGAGAGGGAATGTGTGTTGATTGACAGCGACACATGTGTGTGTTTATTGGCCCGTTTGAGAGAAAGCTGTGACGCAGTGACCTACAAAGACGAGTCCTCCGCTATGACCTCCGACTGCTTCATGATGCTTTATGAACAGTAGTGATTAAAAGGCGTGTATGCAGTGGTTTTATGCATTTGTGGGAGTTTTCCTTTCAGACGCAACATTCAGATGCTTTGCAGTGTCTAAAGAAAGGTTTGCATGCTCTGACTCCAGTGTGATCCTCCCTGTTACTCTCACACAAAGACACACTTGTGCACAGTAGTGCCGCACCATATGCAGTGCACACTATGCAGACTACATAGGGCACTAACTAGCATCTCATCTGTCCAGGGGCCAACGCAAGCTCTTTGCCTCCACATCATGAATTAAACTGTGTAATTAATGCACAGCTAGCCGTGAATTATGCCTTATATGATACATATTGTTCACTGAATGATGAATCAAGAACAAAGTACTTCAAGTAACTCTGTGTAGGATTCAATTTGAAACAAAGAATTACAAAGAATCGGCAAATGAACCCTAGTAAAAAAGTAATATATTGAAAATACATTTATTTCATACTAAGTATAGTTAAATTCCATTAACATATCTACTGACATATCGCTCGAGACTTACTGATAGAAAAATTAGAATTTAGAAAATCATCACAATGCACATTTTTCAATATTAAAGGGGTCATATGATGCTATTTTAAAGATCATTATTTTGTGTATTTGGTGTAACAGAATATGTTGACAT